ACGCTTCCCAAACAAATGATCCATACATTAGGTCAGAGTCTGGCTGGCTGGGGCGGCTGGGTCAGGCCATGTGATGTCTCGGTGGTGTGAGGCCGAGTAGGAGACGGATAGCAGACAAGAGCCAGGAGAAGGGAGTGTGAAAGGCGGCAGAAGGACTAACCTTATGGGTGTGCCACGTAGGTAAGGGGTACCCACGAAGCAGGTACCCTGTGGCCGCTGCTGCACCCAGAAGACGACCAGCCGCAACCACTGCAAGCCATGACAAAGCAGATCTGGGGGGGAGGGGGGGGAGATGCCCTCATGTTGAGTCACTGTGTTGAAAGTGTGGAAAGCTGGGTTTTGTCAGCAGATGTGCCGAAGCTGAGGACTGGGGATGACCTGGCCCGGAGTCCTAAAACTGCTTAAATGTCTTAATGGCCTTTTACAGGCGTCCAGCCGTTCTGAAAGAGCTGTGTCCTTGTGGCTCTGTGCCGAATTTCCTTGCGACAAAAATGGGTGGTCTCAGGGTGGTAGGGAGAAGGCTTAGACTGCCTAGGGTGTGTTCAGGTGTGAACGGTACCCCCGGAATCATCTGCCCCCTGCGAGAAAAGAACCTTGTCCCTGTGTCTCCTTCACTGAGCTCGGTCTGAGACATTTGTGTGATGTAGGAGGGGGAAACCACGCCTGAGAGTAATTTCCCCAGTTTCTGTTTAACTGGGGCCTAACTGGTAGCTGTGTGAGGGTTATGCAGGCCAGAAGCACCCACATGCCTGGCTTGAAAGATTGGTGAAGGCGGTATGAGCACTGGCAGATGGTTACTGGCGTAAATTTAGGGCATCCTTGGGAGCCCTCGCTCCTGGAGCTGAGCTGGGAAATGAGAGACTAGAAGAGCTGTGGCAGTAGGCCCCATGGAGTACTTTTCTCTCCCCTGCCAGCCTCAGGACAATAATTGGAAAGCCCTGGAAAAGGGACTGTTAATATTTTTGGAAAAACTTCCAATCCCTCCTGAGACAGAAACATGATCTTTCCAAACTGTGCCAACTCAAGCACTGGCCGTCCAAGTGCCAGCTCCTGAGTCACCTGCTCCCCCACACCTCCCTAACACAGAGCTGGCTTAAATGCCACCAGCTTGAAAAATGCAGAAAATGTCAGATGCTTTTCACTGACACTTAAATTTCTTAAATTTTAAAAACCTCAGAAGTCTGTGAGACTTCTGAGGTTGGACCTTCAAGCTTCCTCTACAGCCCTGAGGGCTTGGCAGTTTTTTTGTTTTAATTTAATAAATAGAGATTTGTGCACACTCAAATTCCAGGGCCTGTGCTTCATTTTAAAATACTAAGCATTGCCACAGCATCAAGAAAAATAAACAGGACTGCTGGCAGCACTGTTGCTGCCTCTGTGAGGCAGGCTGCCCTGCCAGGGGCCCTGGGGCAGGGTTGGGATGGGAAGCTCTAGCCTGGGAAAAGCAGGCCTGTTGCTGAAGAGTGCATGTTTTAAGTGTTAGGAGTGACTGCCAGTATAGCTCGTGGGCAGATCTGAGAATCAATTTATGGGAACTTGTCATTGGCGTGGGGAAGAGTTAGGCCTTTGTTTCATGACACACCAGAGATCAGCAAAAGCTTTTCTGTAAAGCAGATCAACCCAAAATAACAGCCGCTAATGCAGCCAGTGTATTTATTACTGATGAGCTGAAAATAGTTGATGAAGGTCGGGAGATAATAAAGGGGAGGTCCTGACAGGCCCTCCTACTTCTAGTCACAAAACTTTTTCCTGCTGTACTGTTGCATCTCCCTTTCTCTGTTACTGGTAGCCACCCTTGCTGGATAAAAGCCCATTCCCTGCCCGTGGCACCTATGAGCTGCAGCTGCTGTTTATGCTGAAGACAAACTCAAGTTGTGTAGAAAGCATGAATAACCAAATTAACTTAAGAATTGTTTTCTCTCTTTCTACAGAAAATCACAGCACCCCTTATCTATGCTGTTGGGATTGCTGCCATTGGATCTCTCCAGTTTGGGTACAACACTGGTGTCATCAATGCTCCCGAGAAGGTGAGGGGGAGAATGAGTTGGGGAGATGGTAGGAGTGAGGAGCTGGTAGGAAAACAAAGGCGTAGAAAGGAGAGGAGCTGTCTCCCAAGCAGCTAATAATGTGGTTCTGGTTTATGAAGTCACGGAGACATTCAAAACCCTCTCTCAACTACAACAGTGGACAGGAAGGGCAAAGTTTGGGGGAGGAGAGGAGGCAAGCAGAGAGGTTAATTCTCTTAATCAGGAGTGCAGAGGGGGCAGGAGGGCTCTGTCTGCCATTTTGTGGTAGGTCTATATATGATGTGTGGAGGAATGTGAGCCACTTCAGTTTTGAGTCAGAAGAAACCAACCATGGCAGAAGGAATGTAGAGAGCAGCAAGCAGAAAACAGTTGAGGGCTGGCAGGGATTACAGTTGCTCTAGTTTAGTTTATCTCAGAGACTGTCTCAGGCTTCTTTATTTTATTTGTTTGTTCATTCATTATGTTCAGTGTAGATTCAGTGCTTGTTAAAGGATTGTGACTGGGGCCCTCTGACCAAGTCATCTCATGACTATAACCTAAAAAAGAAAAGAGATGAAGAAAACAAGAAGTGTGGTTTTCTTGTTAACTACAAGATGGTTCCTCTCTCTCAGGAACTGAGTCACCAATACCACATCCACCCCATCTCCGGGAATAGATGTCACATCACTGGGGGTGGGAGGTGGGGGGGGGTGGTCCTCCCTAGCTAATGTCCTGCTGCCATCTGCTGGGGGCAGATGCTCTGAGGCCGCGTCCCCCTCAGCCCTCGCAGAATTTCTGTCGCGATCAAAGAGGATGCCTCGGAAATCAGCAGCACAGACCTGTCGCACTCCCATGGGACAAAGAACGATTGCTTTATGTAGTGCTGTAGTCTTTCAGGCTTAACCTCAGTGAAACTTTCTGGGTCTCTTAAACTGTTTCCATCCCAGAAAGTCTGTCCCTGCTGCCAGAGTTTTCTGGTATTGCCATAAAGTTCCATTCCATTCTCTGGTCATGTTTTCTTGCTCCCACTCACTCCCAGCTGTCTCTCACTCCCTCCCAAGCACTGCCAGTGACTCACATCATCCAGAAACACTCAACAGGTAAGGCTGCTTTCCTTAATAAACACTGGCCTCTGTCCCCCACTTTGAGTGAGGCATCTCTCCCTCATCATACTGCTACCAGTCTGCTGAACTCAGTGAAAGTTCCTCTTTCTGCACCCTCGTCTTCCACTTGTATGACCTGTTGCTGCCTGCTGAGTCTTTAAGGTCTGTCCTTGCTTCTTGCCTTCATGAAAACGGAAGGAATACCTCAGAAGTAATCTCCCCTCTCACTGGTGCAAAGTGCCTCTCACTGGATTGTAACTGTCCCCACCTGGTTTTTCTTGCAGATCATCCAGAGGTTCTTCAACAGAACCCTTACAGAACGGAGCGGGAAGGCTGTCTCCCCACAGCTCCTCACCTCTCTGTGGTCCCTTTCTGTGGCCATCTTCTCAGTAGGAGGAATGATTGGCTCCTTCTCAGTCAGCCTGTTTGTCAACAGATTTGGCAGGTAAGTTGGGAAGAGGGATGCAAGCAATTATGGATTTTTTTTTTTCCTTCTGAAATGGAGTGTTGAGAGGGAGAGGGGAGAGGTGAGAGGGAGGAGGAGGAGGCTGGGGAGGAAGCAACAATGTGTGGACTGCAAAAAGAAAGAAAGGGTTGCAGGCCAAGGCAAGAGCTGACCTCTATTCTCCCACTCCTGCGATGGGTGGTTATGGGTGGGTTTACCCGTCTCCTAGTTACGTTCCCCCTGTATTGCCATTTTACCCTCAGTCTTGACATCTTTAACCCGGCAGGAGGAACTCCATGCTACTGGTGAACATCTTGGCCTTTGTTGGTGGCATTCTCATGGCCTTCTCTAAGATTGCAAAGGCAGTGGAGATGCTGATTATTGGCCGCTTCATTATTGGCCTCTTCTGTGGTCTCTGCACTGGCTTTGTACCCATGTACATCAGCGAGGTCTCGCCCACCAGCCTCCGTGGAGCCTTTGGCACCCTCAACCAGCTGGGCATTGTTGTGGGCATCTTGGTGGCCCAGGTAGGCTTGACACAACCTGCTCCTGCCCTCGGGGGAAAGGGGGGCTCGGGGAGGGTGAGGTGGGCTGCACTTGGCATCAGATGCAGTATGTTGTCCTGTCATACTCACTGGTGTGAGGGTGAGGAGTCGGAGTGTTTAAATCACTCTGTTTCTCTCCAATTCTTGGTGTAGATCTTTGGCCTGGAGGGCATCATGGGGACTGAAGCACTTTGGCCACTGCTTTTGGGGTTCACGATGCTCCCAGCAGTCCTGCAGTGTGTGGCTCTTCTTTTCTGCCCTGAGAGCCCCCGTTTCCTGTTGATCAACAAGATGGAGGAAGAGAAAGCGCAAGCAGGTAAGAACCCATCTCTGAAGGGACAGAGCTGTATTCTGGCTCCTAGCCTGCACTGAACTTGAGTGGGAGGCCAGGACTGACTCTGGAGCATGTGGTGAATCAGGGTGTGACTCCAAGAGGGCACCAGGCCTTGCCTCCCATCCTTCAGGCTGCACCAGTGCCAGGAACTGAGAGAAACCTGGCTTCCCAACACAGACTCCAGGTGGGATTAAGATGTGAGGAGTGGGATGTAGCAGGGCCAGCTCCTGCAGCTCTGTCAGCTCGTCATAAAGGAGGAAATAGGCGTCAGCCTATGAGGGGGCTTGGAGGGTGTTTCCCTCTCCTACTGCAGACGGCTGGAGTCAGCTCTGGCAAATGTGTGAACAGAATTAGGGAGCCAATGTAAGCCTGGAGATCAGGCAACATGAGCAGGATCTGGGCCTGGCTTCCATGCTGATCACAGCACCCTGACCTCTGGGTGGAAAAGATGAGCGATGCTGCATGTAGAGGCTCAGTCCTTCCCACACAGCAGGTCCCAGCACTGACTGGCAGGTGGTCCAGTCTTCCCAGTGAGCCCTCCCTGAAATAGCAGAGCAGGAGGGGGGAGCCTACTTAGGCTGTGGGTATATTATATCTGGTATTTTTTGATTCCTTCCTCCAGTTCTCCAGAAGCTCCGTGGTATGCAGGATGTGTCTCAAGACATCCTGGAGATGAAAGAAGAGAGTGCTAAAATGTCCCAGGAAAAGAAAGCAACTGTGCCAGAGCTTTTCCGTTCTCCAAACTACCGTCAAGCCATTATCATTGCCATCATGCTGCAGCTCTCCCAGCAGCTCTCGGGCATCAATGCTGTGAGTTATCTTCCTGTCCCTTCTGCTAGATCTCCCTTATCTCTGGCTACATTTGCACTTGCCACTAATATTGAGAGAACTGTGCTTCCAAAAACCTTTGTGCCTTGAATGGAGGTCACTGTTTTGTGATACTGAAAAGATTGCTAAAACAGAAGGTAGAGATTATATTGGCTTTGACTTTTCCCTCGTGCACCCTGGCAAGACATTGCAGCCTTGCACCGAGTGAATGAACCTTGACTGGAAGCATGCTGTTTTATACTATTGAGTGCTTCTTAGAAACTCCCTGTTGGGCCTGCAAACCATTAGGCAGAGAACAAGGGAGATGCTCTCAAACACTGGAATCGTGATGGTGTCCAACTTTTGCTTCTCTTCCCAGGTATTCTATTACTCTACCGGGATTTTTGAAAGAGCTGGTATCACACAACCTGTGTATGCCACCATTGGAGCTGGCGTGGTGAACACTGTCTTCACTGTTGTGTCGGTAAGCGGAACAGGGCCTTATGGCCAGAGGTGGCTTGTCCACTTGGGCTTTTTTGGGAGATGTGACTGAAGGCAAGTAGCCAGGCTGTGGCAAAGTGTTGGGCTAAACAATGGCCTTATAAGAGCAAAGAAAATAATGCAGTAAAAGTGCTGTGGGAGGTGAGGAGGGGCTTAAGAGGTGTTGGTATCCTTTTAGAAGAAAAGGAGGATGAAGAGGAGTGCGTGGGGGGGGAAAGAATGATGAGAGAAGGCAGTAGCAAGAATCAGAGAGAAAAAACTTGTGCCAAGCATGGAGCAGCCTGGTGACCTGCACTGAGCTAGATCAACACTGGAACTGGGGGCTACAGGCAGATAAGAGAAAGGTGCAGGGCACACTGAGCAAGCAAGCCTCTTATGCTCTTGCTGCAGAATTCACTTTTTTCCTCCTTCTGCCGTGTTTCCAGCTGTTCCTGGTGGAGCATGCGGGGCGCAGGACCCTCCATTTAGTTGGTTTGGGTGGCATGGCTGTGTGTGCTCTCCTTATGACCATCGCTTTAGCTCTGAAGGTGAGTAATTGGTGTTCTTGTCCAGGCTGACCCCAGCAGAGGACCTATAAGACTATACATCTGCCTTGCCCTGCAATTCTACCCTGCAGGCAGGTACAGCTGGGGCTAGAGCCGAGTCTGTGGTGGAGAGCGCAACTTCCTAACTGTGGAAACTGCCACAGTGTTCACACTGCAGCTGAGAAAGTTGTGACACTGGAGATGGCGTTGTGCTGTGCCATGTTTGGCTCAGATTGTAGCTGATCATGTTTTGTTCCCTTGCAGAACACTGTGGAATGGATCAGATACATCAGCATTGTTGCCACTTTCGGCTTTGTGGCTCTATTTGAGATTGGCCCTGGCCCTATCCCCTGGTTCATTGTGGCAGAACTCTTCAGCCAGGGCCCACGGCCTGCAGCCATGGCAGTGGCTGGTTGTTCCAACTGGACCTCTAATTTCTTGGTGGGAATGCTCTTCCCCTATGCAGAGGTAAGGACCTGGTTTGCAAAGCACTATGAGTGCTGCAGAATTGGAATAGGTGTCCAGAGTGGTTGTAGAATCTCCATCCTTGGAGACTTCCAAAGGTGACTGTATGACCCTTAACAAGCTGATCTCTCCTTGAAGTTGTCCCTGCTTTGAGCAGAGGGCTGTTCAGTCTTCCAGAGGTGCCTGATTCTGTGTTCTCACTGCTCCTGAAGGCTGAGAGTGTTGTGGCTCACCTTATGTTCTGCTGTCTTAACTGCTTGTAGCTTACAAATAGTTGGAAGAGCCATCTTAATTAGCACATCAAGGCTTTCCTTTTAAAAGCCTCAATTTTGCTTACCCCCAGGACCATTAAAACATTTTGGAAGCCCCCAGGAACCTGATTTCATTTTAAAAAATACTGGGTTGAGGAAAAGTTGGTAAGGGCATTGTTGCAGAAAGGTGTTAGAATTTTGATGTATAAACAGCAAATGGCCTTGCTTTTACAATTATGAGCTTTTCAAAATAAAACCCTCCTGCTTTTTTCTTCCCTGCAGAAACTATGTGGCCCCTACGTCTTCCTCATTTTTCTTGTTTTCCTGGTCATCTTCTTTGTCTTCACGTTCTTCAAAGTGCCAGAGACCAAGGGCAGGACTTTTGAGGACATCTCCAGGTGCTTTGAAGGACGAGCAGAAGCTATCCTCACATCTGTAAAGAACCCCATGATGGAGCTGAACAGCATACAACCTGACAAAGATGCTTCCTAAGATTCACGACGCACCCCTTCAACTCTTAAATACCTAGAGTCATTAAAAGAATGAACAAAGAAAACCATGAGAACTGGGACACTTCTCCCCCCCTCTTCAACTGCTGCTATTTTCTTCTTTGCACCCACATACTAGCCCGTTCTGCCAGGCTTACCAGCATTGAGCAAATCTGATATGGGCAATCCCATTTTCAAGTACTGGAAGGCACCTGGCACTTGCAAAAATAATGTCATCTTCCCTGTCACAAACATCAGGAGAACAGAGAAGAGCTGGCAATTTTTTTTGCTTTTCTCACCTATAATTGCGGTTTGGGGTTAACATACTTATGCACGCAGTGACCATTACGTATTTGAATCTAATTACTATTTTTGTAGTGAGTTGAAGTGACCCACAAAATAAGTCCCTGCCCCTTTTAGTCTACTCTGTGTGTGTGTGCAGTGTTACACTGGAATTTAACAGGCCTACCAAAAAGCCATCTCCTTGCTTTTTCCAATCCAGTGTGCACTTTTTTCAGCCTCAGGAAAAAGGGGACCAAGTTACATGCATATTTTTTCCTGCTCTTTTAATTTTTTGTATAGACAGACTGAAAGCATACTTTTACTTGAGTTTATTTATTTTTATGTCACTTTGTAAATATTTATTTTTTAATGGTGTACAAAAATGTACAGATAACAAAATTGAAGATGTTTAAGAGAAATAGCTATTCTAACAGAAGATGCTGTAGACTTGAGGTGCAATAAGACTGTAAAGGAGAAAGGTGGTACTAAACAGGAGGCTGGGCGTTTTGGATGGTGTGTACAACAGGGCCAATTATGCACATCACCTTTAAATTGTTTGTGTCCTCTGGAAGGAAATCTGAAGAGTTGCGTGCTAGTGAGAAGAGGTATGTTTGTCCACCAGAATCTCTGCTTGGGATTTTTCTGGGTAGTAATTCTAAATATTTTCCTGAAGGGTTGTTTGGAAAGTGTGGTATTGCAGCAAATGGGTGGTGTTTGTATTTTCAATCATGTTTAAGCTATTGTGCGGGATGATTGAGGGTGGTGATTGCAAACCAGAAGGTAACTTTTCCTGCCTTCTCTTAATTTTATATTTTAGGCTTTTCTGCTGTATTCTAGTAGGTCAAAGTCTGAAGTTTGCAGATTGTTAACTTAAAGGTGTGTGAGGATAAAAATTATTTTCCAAAGCTGTATTTTCTTAGCAATTGTTCTTAGAAATATTAGACAGAGACATGTAGCATGACCCTTTTGGGCACAGGCATGGTCGTTATGGCATCTGTAAGTTCATAAAGGTAGGGATGCGGGACTAGGGACCAGAGTCACTGGAACTTGCTAGCTTAGCAGTGTGAAAGATTTGCAGTGCTTAGTCCACTGGTCAGTTGTAGGCCGCATGTTTTTGCCCCGTGTGTCCTCTCTGGAGGATCTGCATGATGTTGTGATGCTCACCAGTGTGCAGCATGCGGTGTAGATGTGTACAGCTCTAATTCTGCCTCTGTTAAAAGGGATATGGCAGACACTAATTGTACTTTGGTCAATATTGGTCTCCCTGCTCGTCATACTGCTAGGCAGCCGAGAGTGTGTGTACGCCTATGCTTGCTGCCAGGCTAGCTCAGCTCAGGAAGGCAAGAAGTAGTGCGCACATTATAGTTGCAGTCAAGGGTTGGGAGTCTTGCTTCAACTGCAGCGTTCTCGAGAGAGAGACTTAAGGCTGCCTGTGTCTGTCCAGACCTGCACAAGTCGCCTAAAGGTAGCGCAGAGAGGTAGGTACAACTTAAACTCCTGCTCTAAATCATCTGTGTTTTTGGACTTGATTAAACTCTGGTCTACCTGCAAACTCACGCTGGAGTTCGTCACTGGATATCCTAGAGGAGAGGCAGGCCCACAGATTCCAAGGTGGGTAAAGGGAGAAAGGCTCAGAAAGACAGGAATAACAGCAAAATTGTTGTAGCATGGGTAGCCCAAGCTTCAGAGCAGGTCAGAGGAATTCCCGTTGATGTGTATTCTGGGGGCGTGTCTGGCATTTTCAGTAAAGTGATAACATTTTTGCCTTCCCTAGTGAGAAACAGTTGCGAAGATCAGTAAAACCTGCTGCTGTGAAATACTTCCTGTGACTTCATTTGAAATACTCCCGTTTTGCACAATGCAATCCTATTACATCCAGTTTTCCCTAGCTTTTTATCAGGCTTCCGTGACAGATATTTATTCTCAGAAGTACTGTATATGACTTCTTTATCAACTTTCATATTTTGGCTCAGTTATACAGATTTTGTGCCCTTCATTTGAGCCCCCGGCACTCCCAGACATGGTATTTCTATGCGGGCATCTCTGTGTTAGGAAATTCCCCCTACAGCTGTGCATAAGAGCATTCCATACTGTGCATCAGAGATGTGCGTTGGCTTGGACCGAGATGTGTAGGTCTTTCTCACACGGTATCTCTTTGTTTTCTGTTTTCTGTAACAGCATTGTGAATACTTTGGATGGATTTTATATGCTTATTAATGTGGTTGTTTCCTGTTTTTAAAATAAAAACTATAGAACCAAGTATCTAGTTTGGATTTTACCTGTACCCTGTAGGTCTTCTGTTTCCTGCTCCTTTGTCACAGCCTGGGCCTACATCCTAGGATGTCCCCAGCTTCTGCCCTGCAACTGTTCTGGCTAGCCTAGCACCCTGGATTTGCTGGCTTATTTTAGCAGAAATGACAATTTCTCTCAACCACCATGCATTTCCCTCATGACTCTTCCTTACAAGTTTTTAAACGAAGATGGTATGTGTATCCGGTTCTTTAGTTTGCATCCAAGTCCTTTTGCAGTATTTCTCAGTAACAGGAGGGGAGAGGGAAGTGGCTGGAGGTCAGGAATCCTGCCCAGAGCTGAAAGACTTCTGCCCCTGCCCTCTTTGCAGAGTAGTCCTCAACTTCTCTGCCATGAAGGTGAAGAGGGAGCCCTTCCACTGCTGCTTTGCTCCCTCCGGCAAGTGACTTTAATGTCCTCGGAAATCTTGCCTGTGCAGACTGGCTGCCTGAAAGGATCCAGGTGGCAAAGAGGAAGCTGGCAACACCACCCAAGATGCCCTAAGTCAAGAATTGGGCTGATAGGACTCCATGGTTGCACAAAACAGCCAGGAAACAGTACAGCATAATAATGTACAGCTTGAAAAAGCTGAGCGTAACGCAGAACCAGCACAGGCTTTATGAAACCTGCCATTAGGGACTGCTGCGTGTTCCTAGCTGGCGCCTGTGCTTTGCAGTTTGCTATGCAACCAGCCTAAGAGCTGGGGAATGCTCTGGGCTCAGCTGTGTCGGATTGTTTTTCAGCTCTAGCTGAGCTGAAGAAAATCAACCCCAGCCATCCAAACTCATAAGCATATCTAGGTCAAATTTAACTCTAATATTTCCTTTTTCCTGTCAAAACGGGAACCAGAGAACAAAATCATTTGGGGCCAAAGCGCATGATTCACTGAGCTATCAATTAATGATTTGTGTAGTTTTTGTGGTAAACTTCTGGTCTGGGAATTAGTGTTTTAGATGTGGTTATTTTATGTCTGAAAATTGTAAAGAAGCTTCAAAAGGAAAAATTGTTTGCAGTTAGATTATTTGAATGTTTGAAGATAGGTTGTTTTCAGTTGAAACTGTTCATCACCTTCAAGTGAGCCTGTAGGCAGTTCTTAGGGCACCACAATACCAAGCAAAAATGTCATTAAACTCCGAGAGGGGTGGCAGAGCTGGCTTGGACAGGTACATCTCTGAGACAATGCACAGAACTTTGGTCTGGCTTGCTGTGTGCAGGGGGCACTGCAGCGACCTTCAAAGCATTGCATCAGCCTCTGAAAACCAAGCTAGCCCTCAGACCAATGTGTGAGGTTCAGGTTTAGCTGCAGCTGGTGTATTTCCTGCTAATATCTGCACATTACCTCTTGGGTGTACTCAGAGCTGGTGAGGTATCACCTCTGGTGGGAAGCAGAAGGCCCCAAGTCTCTGCATCCCATCCCTAACTGGCCCTGAAATGGAAGGGAGCAAGGCAGCAAGGGACCACAAAAGGAGAATGTGGTAAGGAAGGAAGTGAAAATTTAATCAGAGAATAAAGCTTGGAGGAAACCCCCTCCCTTTGCCACTTCCCATCTCTTTATGCAACAGCTTACATTACAAAACCTGTGAGCTTCTCGACACCTTCTCAGATGTCATGCTGCTGGCAGAGGTGGCATTCATGCCAGGTCAGGACTACTCTGGATTCCGTCTCTGTTTTAGTGCATTCCCCATCTGAGCAGTAGTTGGCAGAGGTGTTACTACTGGAAAAATCCCAAGTGGCATGGAAAGCCTTGCCATGTCCATGGAACCAGAAGACTCTGGGATGTGTGTAACTAGGTTACTGGAGAACCCTTCTAGGAGAGAAACCACTGCTGAGTGGACAAAAGAAGATCGCCAAGCGTCACAAGTGACATAAATCACATCAAAGGTTTCCGTGCCTTTTCACAAGCTGGAGCGTGATAAGGAGTGCCATGGTGTCACTGCCAATATTAGCTGCTTTTTGCATGTGTTATTTCTGATGAACATTTGTGCACCAGAAAAGCAGTTCATTTCTGTGAGAAGAAATGTGACAAAAATGGTTTATTGGAGGTAAATTTCACCACTGTGTGCCCTGTGCAGAAATCTTTATATCTGATTTTGTGCTCTTCTTAAATGCCAGACATCTCAGTAGCTGGGGAGACCGTGGAGTTGCTTTTCCTTTGGGAAGGTACCCGGGTGAGAGTCTTACCTTCAAGAAAAGCTATGTAGCCCTCAAAGGGACATTTGCTAGTTTGGTAGCTGGCTGCACCATCATTGGTTTCATTTGTGAGGAAGGAAGGTGTGGACACCCTGCTGATGACATTGCGGTGGGACCATGATGGAGCAACAGCAGGACGTGACTTTCTACAACCTTTTGTCCTGCTGTACACATAGTGAGAAAGGTCCTGCCAGGAGGCAGATCAAATGCTGAGTTGCACAGAGCATTTACACCTGTTTTTTT